CCTCGCCATAACAGTGGGACTCTGTGAATACCAGAGCTGCCAGTGGATCACAGTATGCATCAGTGATCCTGACACCCAGTGGACAGGCTGTGAGAAGTATGCAAATGATATAGCTTGGAGGCAAATATGCTTCACTACCACACATCATACACATCACATCACACAGATATGCACAAATGGATAGGTGCTCACACATGCAAGCAAGCAGACACACTGACACACACCTTTATACACACAGTTGATTGCACAAATATTGTTGCTATGCTCAGATAAACAGGTGTCCTCACATGAGCACTCACAAAGATTCACAAACACACATCCACTGGTGTGTATAGTAAGAAAGTTGATGTTCATGGAGACTCTGAGAAAGTTTGGAAATACCATGCTAACTAGGAAAGGCAAGATTTTCAGAAGAAAATATAAGTGTAACCACAGCTGAAACATTTACGGTTACAATAATAACAGAAGTGGAAGTGGAGGATCTATTGGTTGACATGGATCATTTCATAGCTATGTTTTCATTAGTATAATCACCTGAATTATAGGGAATTGTTGTGTTTTTGTTTACCTTACGAATGATACTTTTTTATTACAGAGAGGTCTTCCAGGTTGAACTGCCATGTTTCTACAGTAGCTCAGAACGGACAAACTAAACACTGGCTCACTCACCGTAGTACCTCCTACACACTATGAACAGGAAGGTGGGGAGAGGGCATTGTAATCTTCAACGGCAGTGCTAGATGCCACTAAAGCTTACACACTGGACCTTTAAGATCGAAGTTCAAGCACTGAGATTAATTGAAATTATCCTTTGTGATTGAGCTTGAAGTGTCAGTCACACTTGGAAGATGGAGTAGATGAACTCTCCAGCTAAACAATAAGAGATGAAAGCAGTGGAGCTGTCCGTTGAAGTGTAAAAGTTCAAAGTGTTTGAAATGACAGTTGAAGAGAGAGAGTTTAAAGGTCCAGTGTGTAACATTCAGGAGGACCTATTGGCAGAAATGGAATATAATATTTATTGGTATGTTTTCATTAGTGTATAATCACCTGAATATACCTTACCTTAGAATGAGCCGTTTTTTTAACTAGAGCCGCCACAGGTCGCCTTCCATAACTTCTGCCATGTTTAATTGCCACGCTTCTACAGTAGCCCAGAATGGACAAACAAAACACTGGCTCTAGAGGACGGCGTTCATGTTTTTTGTGGTTTTCGCAGCCACTGTTGTTGCGATCTTCCACTACACCGCTAGATGCCATTAAAAGTGGTGGTGCAAATCTTTTTAATCTTTCATTTTAATTAATTTGATGATGATTGTTTTCATTTTGGTTTATTTATTTTGGTTTATTATCAGCTGTGATTGGATTGTACCATTATAAAAAAGAATACCTTCAGGATTAATAACTTTTGTTGAATTTCTATACACTTTTCAAAACATCAAATTAGTAGAAATATAAAGAAATATACTAATACTGGGATATAAAAATAGTATCCATATTCTGTTTTCAGAGCAGCATAGATCAGAAGAGTCTTGTATTCCTGGCAGTGCATGCTGTAATAAAACAGGAGCCTTTGTTACCCTTATTTCAGTTTACTGCTCAAGTTTCAGAGCTTGTCTCCTTGGCAGTGACAGTTCTTCCTGTCAGGGATTTAAATCAGCCCTTGTTTGTCCCTTTGGGCAACAGGACGTGAGGTCTTTGAATCTGGTGAATCATCTATTGGGGACAAAAATGTCCCAGTCTGTATTGCTGTTGTTGACTAGCCTCTTAATTAGCATTGATAATTAGTTCTCAACGTGTCAGTGTTGTGACAGGACCTGTCAGTGGCCCATATTGATGGCCTGAATGTCCCCTTGCTTGTCTCCTTGTTAACTCCCGTCCGATCTGGACAGCATTCTCCGTGTGTCTTGTCCATTTTACCACTGGGGGCCTTGTTGTCTGATCGTCACCTTGTCTGTCTGTCTGTCTGCCAGGACCAGGCACGAGGGACATGACGGTGAAAGCCGCTAAATGCCATGCTGACAGTAAACAGCTGCAGTAAACAAGTAATGACGTCCCCGTCCCCTTTGTCTCGTGTGCCCCGTATCTCATCAGCGCTTAAGCTGGCGTGCCCTTGAGCCATTACAATGACCTGCTATTGATTAGACAAGACTGTTAAGTGTACCGAGATGTTAAAGAATACACCTCACACACCTCAGTGACAGGCAGGCAAGCTGCTGACAGGCTGCATTCTCTGAGGTGTTGTGTGAAGCTGATACATACAGCTCTCTGACCTCTCTAGAGCCAAATGATAATTATACAACGATAATGGTAATGCTTTGTGATTCAGTTAAGTTGATGATACAGTATTAATAATATAGTCAGTATTAACGTATGTGTTGATTCAGAGGAGGCTGCCTAGATGTAGACTGAAGCAGCTGAAGTTTTTCCACTGCCACCCACCTCTGTCTTCCAAGCTACAGCCCACCGACTGTTCCCTGGCTCTCGCACGCATCACTTCCTGCTGCAGCAGCAGCAGCCTTGTTCCAGGCCCTACGGTTTCCCCCGGCAACAGGCCAGACAGCAGTCAGGGCATCCTCTGTGCCTCCGACCATTCGCCCTGTGGATGAAGTTCTCCTTCAGAAGCTGACCGTCCATCACAAAACCTCCTGTAATAGACGGTGAGTCGTGACAAGCCAAGCTGAGAGGCCATCTGCGCACGGTGGGGTCTGGGAGATATTTTTGTCGCTGAGCGTGCCTGGCCAAAGAGCTCAGGACTGGCACCGAGCTCTGCTGATGAAAGAGAACGGAGGAAAACACCAAAAACTTTACTGAGGTCAGAATGAAGATGTCAAGGATACTAGAGGAGTGTGTTTGTTTAAATATACAGTATACAGAGTGTGTGTCCTTGTGACTGCATCAGTGTATCACCTCATAACAACAACAACTAGTAGATTAATAATTACCTACATTCAAATCATACGTGTTATTTTTAGCCATGTGCAGACATTCATGCTTCCCAGAGGAGGATAAACATGTGTAGCCCATTACACACCGAACAAAAAAACCTGATCTGGCACCTTTTCCTCTAATAGTGTTGTGTCTCCCTAGCTAGGCTAGTTCTGGATTCCAAATCCAAAAAAGATAAGACTCGGAGGAAAATAGAGAATTTAATAGTGCATGGACAGATTTGTTGCTTTCACCACCAAGGCTGCTGACTTACCGGTATGTTTGATCTGCAAAGAAAGTAGTATTTTAAGCCTGAAATATGTTTTGCAGCCCCAGACAGATTTTTTTGGGGCCAAAATGGCTCTTTCTGTTATTGCCATGACATTTGATATACACATTCATGTCCACGTAAGAAAGAACTGTAATTTGGTAATCACTTAACTTTCTGTCTAATCAGGTCAAAATTTTAATTTGTATAATGTGGCTTCATACTTGAAAAAAAAAAAAAAAAAAACATTCCAATCAGCCTCAGCTGTACTTTATCTGTATTGTTTATTAGCAAACATTAGCATGGTAACACGCTAAACTAAGATGGTAAGCATGATAAATATTGTACCTGCCAAACATCAGCATGTTAGCATTGTTTTTGTGAGATAACATCCTGACGTAGAAGCACAGCTGTGCTGCTAGCATGGCTGCAGACTCTCAGTCTCACTTAGAACTGTAACACTTTCAAATTAGCATAAAAGCAAGATTCGGAAGGACGTAACCTTAGTTTATTCATCTCTAGTTTTATCTTAACTTAATCAGTATCATCAGCTAGCAGTAATGAGACAGACTGTGAGGTCCATCCACACAAACACACACACACACACACACAGCAAGTTTGGCCTGATGCAGGACTCACAGACAAACAGCCAGATGGGGTGTAAACATAGACTCCGGAGTCGTGTGGAGAGCGTTGCCATCAGCCTGTGGAGTGAAGAATGAAGTCCTGTGCAGACTCCCGAACATGTGCAAGAACACACCCTCAAAGGCCAAGGTGACAGACCTGCTACAGAGGGGCTAGCTTGCATATTTGCAGGCCTAACTTGTGTACCTTTATGTTTGTTTGTGTGTGTGTGTGTGTGTGTGCACGTGCGTGTTGCTTGACAAATGAGTAAGTACAAAGCCTGAAGTGTACGCCCAGACAGCGCATTCAAACCAAGGATGGATGGTTTACAAGTTAACAGCTTTTGGACAATAGATGTTCACCTTTATAGCGACCAGGATTTATGTAGCTCAGGTCATTTTTTGATCATTACAAGAAACTGGAAAATAAAAATAAAAATGACAGAATCTCCATCTATTTTAAAATCTTTGTCTGTATGCCAGTTGTTTCAATCACACAGCTGTGACAAATAGATAGTCCATTGGATGACAGGCCGTATCTGAGTATCAACAAGGTAATGACATGGGAAGGTGATAGATTATGTCTCTGTGTTGCTCCATCATGTTCCAGCCTGGTGAAGGATGAAGGCAGCTGAACATCAATGCCTCGACGCAGACCTTTATGTTTTTGTTGGGATCTATATGAACAGTATGTATGTACGTCCTGTATAGATGGAGGATGATGGACATATGTATAGGTTGGAAGCTGATATTGATCGATTGTGTTTTTCCAGTCCCCTTGCCTCAGTGACCAGATGAAATTTAGTTCTGTTAGAGACACTGTTCTTATTTATCTGTATTTACTATGTCCTCAGTCTTGATGATTGGAAACATTGCTGGCATTCTGTGCTTCTCTGTCCTCTACTTCTTCATTACCCTGAACCTGATTGTCATCATTACTTGCTCTGCTGGCCTAATGATCACAGGCTTGGCAACAGCACTCATAGATGCTCAGCTGTTTTATAAAAGCAGTGAAGTTATTGATATTGTCCCTAATGTAGGGAGGGACAATTGGGCAGGGGGATGATGTGTGCACTTACCTCTGAATTTAAATAAGGCCTCAGTGTATAAGTAATTGCTTTTGTGTGATTCATACCAGCATCATGCATTTGGCTGACATGAATGAAATGCAGTTGATTTAGCTTCACTTAATTCAAAACGCAGTGCGTTGTACCTTGAGAATTTACGCTGCACATTTCTCCCGTCGCTAGTCCTCAGTTATTTATTATACGTCTTTGGGTGTGTTGGTCATGACAGAGGGGATTTTTGAAAGGCTTTTAGAAAATATTACTTTATGTTAAGTGTGTCCAAAACCTAAGTGGAGATTTAGTGGTTTGAATGTGTCATGCAAATATACATCACAGATATTATTATGAATGTCTCACATATTCATTAATTTATCTCCCTCCTTCTAGACTGTTGGAAACTTTAGTTTACTTTCCTGAGTTTCTAGTGTTATCCAGGACTGTGGGCATTGAACAAAAACATTTTACAGCTTTCAAGGGTCAGGGATCCCAAATGAATCACATTTATGATTTGTCATAGCAAGCTGTAAGCCTACCATGATGTCACCTGTTAGTTTACAGATAAACATAAAACAGCACTAAAATACTGTATGTTTCTAAGAAGATATTAGCTGAACAATGAGCTATGCAATGACATCCAGATTCATATTTGATCAGCGCTGCCTAGTTTGACAGTTTGATCTGAGTTTCATGCAGTGCTCTGGACGAATTGTCAATCACAAGGTAGCCGCGCCCTAAAGCATACGCTGCTTTATCATCTATTTTACTCTAAATTGGACCATATTTTACTAAATAAACATCATGCTGTTTGGAAGAAG